AAATCCCTGCAAATGGTGACTGCAACCATGAAATTTTAAAAGGTGATCGCTCCTTGGAAGAAAAGCTTTGACCAACCTAGACAGCATATTAAAAAGCAGAGATAGTGCTTTGCCAACAAAGGTCTGTCTAGTCAAAGCTGTGGTTTTTCCAGTAGTCATGTATGGATGTGAGAGTTGGACTATAAAGAAAGCTGAGTGCTGAAGAGTTGATGCTTTTGAACTGTGGTGTTGGAGAAGTCTCTTGAGAGTCCGTTGGACTGTGAGGAGATCCAACCAGTCCATCGTTCAGGAAATCAGTCCTGAATATTCATTGGAAGAATTGATGCTGAGCCTGAAACTCCAATACCTTGGTCACCTGATGGGAAGAACTGACTCATTGGGAAATACCCTTTGGCTGGGAAAGATTGAAGGTGAGAGGAAAAGGGGACAACAGAGGATGAGATGATTGGATGGCATTACTGATGCGATGGACATGAGTTTGAGCAGGCTCCAGGAGTTGGTGATGGACAGGGAAGCCTGGTGTGCTGCAGTCCATTGGGTCGCAAAGAGTCGGACACAACTGAGCGACTGAACTGACTGGTAAGTATAAATTACTGCTCAGTTATTGTTATTATTTGTATTATTGTTGAGTTAGAGTAGAGTAAGATTAATTGCAGCAAAACCTGTTAGTAATTCAAGGCAAGAGATAATCATCCCTTGGTTTGTTTAGTGGCAGGAAAAATAGAGAAAGAGATACTTTTTGAGAGAAATTTCCAAGGTAGGATCTTTGGCACTTGACGAATGAACAAATATTCGAGAGAGGGAGAGAGGAATGAAAGATGAGTCAAAGTACCGTAAACTGGGTTTGGAATGACGTTGATATAAATGCACCTATATCAGCTGCAGTAAGATAATATGTTAATTAAATAAATCAACATTGAAAGCTCATTTTTACTAAATAATAAGTAATAGATAATTCCCAGAAGTGAATCTTAACAAATTTGAAGCTCTGAGATTGATCCTTCTCCATCTATAGTAGATAAACTCCTGAGGAGGTTGAGAGAAGAATAAATGTAATTCAGACGTTCTTTTCTCATTTTCGTTTCATCTTTCCTTTCTATTTCTGCCATTTTTCATTTCTAGTTTTGTGATTCTGTTACTTTAATTTTTTAGTGTTAGGTTGAGCCATACAGGGGCTTCCCAGGAAGATCCCTGGAGAAGGAAATGGCAACCCACTCCAGTATTCTTGCCTAGAAAATCCCATGGACAGAGGATCCTGGTAGACTACAGTCCATGGGGTTGCAAAGAGTCGGACATGACTGAGTGACTTCACTTTCAAACTTCTGAGCCATATACAAGTTGCCATTGTTATAGATCAGAAAATATTTAACCAGAAACAAAATGGTTTAGTTCAGATCAGTCACTCAGACGTGTCTGACTCTTTGCGACCCCATGGACTGCAGCACGCCAGGCCTCCCTGTCCATCACCAACTCCCGGAGTTTACTCAAACTCAGGTCCATTGAGTCGGTGATGCCATCTCATCCTCTGTCGTCCCCTTCTCCTCCTGCCCTTAACCCAGCATCAGGGTCTTTTCAAATGAGTCAGCTTTTTGCATCAGGTGGCCAAAGTATTGGAGTTTCAGCTTCAACATCAGTCCTTCCAGTGAACATTCAGGATTGATTTCCTTTAGGATGGACTGGTTGGATCTCCTTGCAGTCCAGGGGACTCTCAACAGTCTTCTCAAACGCCACTGTTCAAAAGCATCAATTCTTCGGTGCTCAGCTTTCTTTATAGTCCAACTCTCACATCCATACATGACCACTGGAAAAACCATAGCCTTGACTAGGCAGACCTTTGTTAGCAAAGTAATAATGTCTCTGCTTTTTAATATGCTGTCTAGGTTGGTCATAACTTTCCTTCCAAGGAGTAAGCGTCTTTTAATTTCATGGCTGCAGTCACCATCTGCAGTGATTTTGGAGCCCAAAAAAATAAAGTCAGCTGCTGTTTCCACTGTTTCTCCATCTATTTGCCATGAAGTGATGGGACTCGATGCCATGATCTTTATTTTTTGAATGTTGAGCTTTAAGCCAATTTTTTCACTCCTCTTTCACTTTCATCAAGAGGCTCTTTAGTTCTTCACTTTCTGCCACAGGCATGGTGTCATCTGTATATCTGAGGTTACTGATATTTAACAAAATGATTAAATATTAACAGTTTTACATGGTTCATCAAGTTACATTGTCTTTCTGTAAGAATTTTTAACTGAGGCCATCAGAGTTCATTATGAATAAATTGAGTACCAAGTCCTGTCTGAAGGCATGTTGCAGTGATGACATAAGGCAAATGGAGCTGAACCCTGTGAACTAGGTGACTTAACCTGGCGTCATCTCTTCAATGTGGCTCTGGGAGGACATCATACAGCCAGGTTTTTTTGTTAGTTTTACCAAAAGGGACATGTTATATATTGTTTTGACTGTCTTTTACCTGATTATAAAAAGAGCACATAGAAATTAGCAAATTCACAAAACAAAACCATAAAGAAAAAAAATCATTTGTAATCCCATATCCAATGAAAAGTAGAATTGATTTTTAGTATATTTTCTTTCAGTCATATATACAGAAATACTCTTTTATTAAATACATCTTGCAACTGCATTATTTTTAAAGGGAAATGTAATGATGGATTTTTGTGAGGACATAGATTTATTGCTCCCCCTTATCATTAATAATTTCTCTCTTCTAAAGTGGTTTCTTTAATCCAAAATAAAACATTTAACTCTTAGCTGATATTTTTATTTAGTTTCTAGTATGAATATTTTGAGGGCTTCCTAGGTGGCAGTGGTAAAGAATCTGCCTACCAATTCGGGAGATGAAAAAGATGCAGGTTTGATCCCTGGGTCGGGAAGATCACTAGAGTAGGAAATGGCAACCTGCTCCAATATTCTTGCCTGGAGAATTCCACGGACAGAGGAGTCTGGTGGGCTGCAATTCATGGGGTCAGTGAGTCAGGACACGACTGAGTGACTGAACACATGTGCTCACATACACACAAATATTTTGATTATAGCTGGTCCTAGAGTGATTTTATTAAAACAGAAACAAAATTGAAAGCACTACTATTTTACTAATGGTTTCATAACAGCTTGTTGGTTTCATTGCATTTTTATAGCATTTTTAATTCTTTAAAGCTATCAGTTAATGTAACAGCTGTTTTTATCAGCATAACTATCTAGTTTCATACATAAGAAACCTGAGAGGGAATAAGAGATTAAGTTAGAAGCCCAAGTAGCTTTTCTGACAAGTAGTTAGAAAAACGCAGACTCGTAGCTTTGGCAAATGGTTTTTCCATTTACTGAAATGTAACTCTCAGAAATTATTCTAAGTCAATGTTTATTAAGCACTCAAAACAGGGAGATCAGAAATAAAGTTTACATCAAATGTAGAGAGTAGTGAGTGATCTGGGTTGGCTGGAGGGCAAGTATTTGGGGGATTTGGACTAGTGAGATCAGACTGGAAAGGCATTGGGAACCATTTTCAGGTCTGGAGACATAGGCAGAGAAATTACTTGTCTAATGGGAATAATATTTTAATGCCACGTCATTCCTTCTTGCCTACATATGTACAGTCTAAATGTATTTGAGGAATGCAAGGCAGCAGTGTATCCAGATGGCTGTTGTTACCACCCTTAGAACTAGACAGCCACAGTGAGAGAGGGCACCTTAGGGTTCAGAAGAGCCCAGACTCAAGCAGCACAACGTGACTAGTGGGAAAACACAGACTATTTAGGAACGCTGTTTAAGTTGTATGAGAAGAAAGTAAAGTTATGTACCTCCTATCTCTTAGATTTTGGTAAGCCTTTTGTGTACACCATCTGCTTTATTTCTCAACAACCTCATGAAATAGGGAGTATGATCTTCATTTTGAAGGTGATGAAACTGAAGCTAAGAGAAACTAAGTGATAATAGAGCAAGGAAGCAAGGATTTGAGCCAGATGGGAGGTCAGTGTCATGGGTCTTTTTGACACACTTTGCCATCTTTTCCAGTAAGACCTGTCAATTGCAGGTCTATTATGCTTAATAGGTTTTTTGAGTTCCTTGCCTTCATGTAATAAGCACAGTGCTTCAGATCTTAAAATGTAATTGAATTCTGATGATGAGTAACCATTGCCTGTAATGAGAAAGCATGTGTGTGAAGCAAACAAATCTGAAACTGGGATCTCCATCCCAGTGTGCAGACCTCCTGAAATGTTTTCAGATGTCAACATTTGTTTATTTTACTCTACTGAGTTATGTGAAACTTTACTTAGAAGAATGAATTGAGAGACCAAAGTTACCTGGAGGAAAAGATACTAAAAATACACAATTAACTAAAAATTGTCATAATTTGACACTCCCAGTTAGCTGAAAATTGTGCTCATTTGACATCATCTGAAATGCCACAATACAATCCCAATTTATGTGAGTAGGCACAGACAAGATTGTGTGTTCTACCATACAAAGCTAGTTTGTACCATGAAACTTCCTGCAATTATGGGTGCATTTACTTACCCATCTTTTGTTTGTATATGTACCACTTCACAGCAAACTAGAAGCAAGTTATGACATCTCAGCCAAAGGATAGTGTTGAATATAGGAACAGTATAATTCTTTGTGTGTGCTATTTCTGCAGTATTTGGAATGGATGGGATTTTCTTTGTTTTTTCTGAAACTTAGAGACCTAATTTTTAAATTTTCTTGTTATTTTTGTCATGTTTCTTAAAACTGATCCTTATTTAGTGAATCATGAGAGGAAATTAATGCTAAATATGTAGCCTTCTAGCTAGAACTTCTGGTGCTGGATTTTGATTCTTCAGTTGTCATGCACTGTTAACATACTTTTATTCTTTAACACTGCTCTTTGTTCTGTGGGAAATGGTACAAGGAAATAGGAATTTCCTCTCACCATTACCCCTCTGGCAATGTGTTTCAGTCTAATTCCCGGCTTGCACTCAGTCCTGGTTACTACCTCTTCTTCTTACTGGCAGTCTAAATTCTGCTTAATCTACGAAAAGGGGGGGTTCCAGACCGACGAGGAAACAGTTTTCAGACGCTGCACTGCAAGCATGTTAAGTTATCCCCCCACTGTGCAGTCTGGAAATCGGGGAGCAATTTTCTGGCAGTGAATTCTAATGAGCTGCTAAAGATGCCAGAGCGAGTGCGTGCACCCGGGCGTTTTCTTCTTTCCCCTCCCCCGCCTCTTCCTTTTCCCAAGCCCCCTCTTCTCCCTATTTCTCCTCCTCCTCCTTTATCCCCTCCCTCTGTGTCTCAGTTCTGCAGTAAACGAGGCTGAGGCACATTCCTGCTTTGCAAGGCTTTCTGCTAAGGATGTTCTGTGGCTTTTGTTTGGATTGCAGCATGCAGAATTACAGGTAATACTCAGAAATTGAGCTAGATAGATCGATGCTATTGAAATGTTTTCTAAGAGGCAAAATATTACATTGGAATCAATAAAAAAAAATTAAGTTATCTTAGCTAATTTTATTAGTGGTAACTAAATGGTATAAGTAGATTCCTTTTCTCCCCTGAAAAGCTCAAAAGAAAGGAAATGGGGTTAGATTGATCTGACTGGCGATTGATTTTGCTTTATGTTGGTCATGAAAGCCTGCTGTTGCTGTGCCTCCTCTGTAAAGTAAGAAACATTTATGTGGGGGTGCTGCTGAGGGTAGGCGTGAATAGTTGACCTGGGCGGGGTGGGATGGAGTGGGAGGTGGGATACCAGCCTGAGCTAGCCAGGTTCTTGATTAGGGGCATTGGATACAAAATGTAAAATGCTCTCTCCTTTTCTTCTGTCAGCTGTTCAGAGGAGACTCATTACAACTCCTGCTGAAGTCCTAGCCTTCCTCCCTTCTCTTCTGCCCCTGCCCCCCACCCTCACTGGCTGAAGACCTTGTACCCAGAGTTTGCCTTACTCCCCTGGTGCTATGTGTATGGTAAACCTGGTACTATGGCCGCATCTGGGACTGGCCAGACAACTGCTGCTGGTACTCCCTATTCCAAGAAGGATTTAAAGGGGAATTACACTGCAGGCAATGCACCAGAGCGGCAGCATCGCGAGCTTGGGGACTAAGGCTCCTCGGGCATTATTGCAGACACACAGAGCTGACCGCAATGACAGCAGCTGCTCCTTTGAACTGTTGGCAGCAGCCAAGCGGCAGCATGAAGTGAAAGATCACTCCTGAGCTCAAGATGAACTCTACCTTGGATGGTAATCAGAGCAGCCACTCTTTTTGCCTCTTGGCATTTGGCTACTTGGAAACTGTCAATTTTTGCCTTTTGGAAGTATTGATTATTGTCTTTCTAACTGTGTTGATTATTTCTGGCAACATCATTGTGATTTTTGTATTTCACTGTGCACCTTTGTTGAACCACCATACTACAAGTTACTTTATCCAGACCATGGCATATGCTGACCTCTTGGTTGGCGTAAGCTGCCTGGTCCCTTCTTTATCACTCCTCCACTACCCGCTTCCAGTAGAGGAGTCCTTGACTTGCCAAGTATTTGGTTTTGTAGTATCAGTTCTGAAGAGTGTCTCCATGGCCTCTCTGGCCTGTATCAGCATTGATAGATATATTGCTATCACTAAACCTTTAACCTATAATACCCTGGTTACACCCTGGAGACTACGTCTGTGTATTTTCCTGATTTGGCTATATTCCACCCTGGTCTTCCTGCCTTCCTTTTTCCACTGGGGCAAACCTGGATATCATGGAGATGTGTTTCAGTGGTGTGCGGAGTCCTGGCACACCGACCCCTACTTCACCCTGTTCATCGTGATGATGTTGTATGCCCCAGCAGCCCTTATTGTGTGCTTCACCTATTTCAACATCTTCCGCATCTGCCAACAGCACACAAAGGAAATCAACGAAAGGCAAGCCCGCTTCAGCAGCCAAAGTGGGGAGACTGGGGAGGTGCAGGCTTGTTCTGATAAGCGTTATGCCATGGTCCTATTCCGAATTACTAGTGTGTTTTACATCCTCTGGTTACCATACATCATCTACTTCTTATTGGAGAGCTCTACTGGCCACAGCAACCGCTTCGCATCCTTCTTGACCACCTGGCTTGCTATTAGTAATAGTTTCTGCAACTGTGTCATTTATAGTCTTTCCAACAGTGTTTTCCAAAGAGGACTAAAGCGCCTATCAGGGGCCATGTGTACTTCTTGTGCAAGTCAGATGGTAGCTAAGGACCCTTACACAGTTCGGAGCAAAGGCCCTCTTAATGGATTTCATGTCTGAAGTGGTTCAAATATTGAGTCACTCTGTGTTTTGTGTGTGTGTGTTTCCTTTTTATCTTTTTGTATTTCTAGTTCTCTGGGAAATGTGGGACAAAATAATTTGATTCTAAGCTATAGCTAACAAGTGATCCATCCAAAATACCTTGTTAAGTTTGCAGAAATGATTTTTTTAAATGCTTTTGAATGAGAAGAATCAGGACCATGAGGATAAATTGCTGTTCATAATGTCATGGAAGTGACTGTATTTCTCAGATTTAAAAATGAATAAAGCCATATCTAACACCTCTCCAGCTGGCATGACTGAACCTGGTTGTGAAAAGCGTCAGCATTTTTAAGTCTTTGTTTTCTTGTGCTTTTCTGGGTTCTTTCCAGCTGTTTAGGCTTCATGTACAATTGATTTAATAGGGAATATTAAAATACAGTGATGAATTAACTGTATAGTAATTAAGTGATGAATTCTTCATGTATGTCAAGGTATAACTATGCTGCAGGTTTCCACACTGTCCTTCAGAAAGCCGAATGTTTTGTCTTATTCTCTTGAGAAAATTCTCAATGCAGTGAATAATGTGAAAACTAAAACATTAATTTTAAATTTGTGCATTGAATTGTGAAGCAAAAGTACAGTCAAATTATATAATTTATATAAAAAACTAAGATATATTTTGTGCCATCCTTCACTGAGACCTAAAGAGATGTATGTACTGAAAGTGATTGTGTTCTAGTATTTTTGCCCATGCCCTTGTGTATGTATTAAGAATATTTGAATTGAGTTAGATTTCTCTTTTATAGCCAAATGCATTTTAATAACCTGAAAAATAATTAAATGATAGGCTTATGGCTGCCACTTTTATAATGGTGAAAATACATTAAAATGTATCTTTAGTTTCTCTGCTTTTTTTATCTAGAGACCTTTTGAAATATTAGAATATCAGGAAAAAAAGCATCCTAAGCAACTTGAGTCAGAAAATACACTATACATTTAGCTAGTTCTTTTTTTTAAAATAGAAGGCATTGATTGAGGTGTTCTCTTTGTAGTTAAATAAAGTGGCAACTAATTCTTTTTAAGAGCATTCTTTCAGTCAGTGTGAAGAAATCCATATTTAGTGTTAAGGAATGAGAGAAGAAATTCTGATTAAGTCTCCATTGCTATTCTCTTTCTGGGGAAAAAAAAGAAACATCATTGGGTTACAGTTCATTTGCTCAAATAGGTTTTGTTTTGTTTTTTTTTTTCAGCCAAAATACTAGCAAAATCTATAGAATTAGTAATTGAGAGTGCTGTGTATTTGTATGTATAGTGCTGTTTGGTTTCTCAAAGTGGTTATGTTTAGAGCAAGAGGTTTATTTTTCTAAAAGGAAAGAAGGATTTCCCAGCAGCTCCAGGCATAAAGTATTTCCTTTGCTTTCTGCTGGTTTTAATGTTTTGGAAGTCTTCAGGGAACTTGCATGATCTCTGCCTTTGGCTAGATGTTGTAATAGGAATGTGACAGTGGTGTTCAGTGAGATGGAAGATAGAAGAAAACGAAGGGAAATGGGTTAAAGTGGATTTTTGAGTCCAGGGAAGGATATGGATATTTGTAAAACAGGCAGATATCGTTTGGTTTTCCATCTTACTCCCATTTGAAATAAAGGATAGCATTCTTATGATGTTAGATTTTAGAGATTTGCTTTTAACCTCAAAATCATTCTACTTAAGCATTTTTATTTTTAAGAGAACAAGTATTAGCATAAACATTTAAATTTCAGATTCTGAGTTATTCCCAAAAGCTTGAAAATTTGGTTCTAAGTTATTTCAAAATTTAGAACTCCTGCTGAAATTGTGAGTTAACAGTGGCTTTGTTAAGTTGCCATTTGAAGTAGAAAACCTTCTGTTAGATTCTGAAAAATAGCTATATATAATTTCCCTTTATTTAAGTGGCACAGATTTTTTTTAAAAATTTCTCTCTTTCATGTATATATTAAAGAATGTAAACTGTTCAAATTGGCACAGTTTGCTTGTCAGTTTTTAGTTCTGCCAATATGGTAATCATAAAGATTAATTTTTATAGAAAACTGATGTTAAATCTACTAATTAGTCAGTTAGCATCAGTTTTTACTTTTGGGACGACTGAGCCCTTTTAATTTTTTCTTGCAGTAGGGTTCTGTCTTAGAGAAAACAGAAAGGCTTTTGGAAAAGATTTTTTGGAAATTTTATGAAGATGAGGAAATCTGTTTAATTTTCTGGAAATGGCTAATCACACTGATATTTTAATGACTGGAAAGGCAACAGTTCTTTTAATAAGAGCTTTTGTTAATGGATTTTTACATTTTTGCCCTAATACCAAATTTAGATGTTGTCAGAGGTTCCCCCCCCCTCAACCCACCGCAGATTAGAACCTCTATCAATGTCTCAGCCTAAAACTAAAGTAGAAGTTAAGTAGATATAGTAATTTTAAAGGAAAACAAACCACCACCACCCCACCCGCCCTCTGTGAGGCTTGCTTAATATCAGATGTCTTTCCAGTTTATCTTGTCACCATTGGACCTTGTAAATGCTAAGGTTTCTTTCAGGTATCAATTCTGTTCTCATATTCCTTATCTGTACTGCTTTTACATTTTTGTTTTCTTGAGGTATGTGCATGCTGGGGAGAAGAGATGTGTCTGGATACAATCATACAGTCTTCTCTGGCTGAGGCAGTTTCTGTGTGATATATTTGCAGAGTTTGTATGTATTTATAAGTAACCTTTTCATCCTGGCCTATTTATTGCAACATTTAATGACATTTTGTTTAAATACCAGTTTTAACTGGTTGAGAATGAGAAAAAGTATTAGAGTCAGTCACCCTAGGCTTTGGCAAGACAAGCCTATTTAACTTTATATGGTATATGACTGATATCAGAGGAAGTGTAAGCTTTTTGTGATTGTGTTGAAATTATTTCATAGGAAATTTAAAAATAAGACTATACTAGTTGTATCTGTAGTTAATTGTGTTTTTAATACAATGATTTCACTGAAGGTGTGTTTTTTGCTCTTAGAGTGGAAAAGCAATTACAAAAGGACAATTATTCCACTTTAATGAAAAAATTGTCTTACAGCAGAATGGCTATTTGCATTTTTCATGGACCTGTTAGTTCTTACCCTAAATCCCATTTTGAAAAGGATTTTCTTTAAGGTTTATTGCTGGATAAATACTATTTTGAGCCTCTTAAATGACTTTTCCTTTTTACTTGAATAATGGTCTCAGTATTTTAAGAATTGGGAAAACTTGAATTTTTTGTACTGTTAAATGCATTTACTCTTCACCTCTTTGAACTTGAAAATGAAGCAACAGGGTTACGAGTTCCCAGGTGGTATAGTGATTTCTGGGAGTTTCCTCAGCTTTTCAGGTTTGATTAAAACATCAGCTTTTGATGATGATGTAGGAATTTTACTGACTCTGTGTTTTTGTATCATAAAAGACTTGTGAAATAAATTATTGACAAACCGGAATTTATTGCTATATGAAGAGATTTGGGGAAGTTTAAGGATGGGGAGAATCATCGAATTATGAAAAAATTCTAAAGGCTTCATAAGTCATTTGTGTTGATTTTTATGTACTTTTTCCATTTCAGGTTAAAGTTTTATATTAAATATACATATTATTAATATATTTTGCAGACCAAAGGAATGTTCTAGACATTTCCTATGGCTATAAATGAGTCATTTGGCTTTTCTTCAAAATTTAGGTAATAAGGGAATCATGATATGTAAAATGAACTCTGAACAGAGAATCTGTGATTCTGTTACTAATTGACACATTTTGTAAGGGCTAGTGGCTTCTCTAAGCACTTGGTTTTTTCTATTTATAATAATCCTTTCATCCTTCACAGGGTTACTTTGAGGACTGAATTAGATAATGGATGTAAAAGAACTTTGTAATATGTAAAGTGCTTTGCAAATAAAAATGAATACTGTTATTTATCTGCCATAGTTTTATATCTAAGGAAGTTTTACATGTTGGTGTGATATTACCCCATGTAAGATCTTTGAAAGCCAATCCCACATTTAAGTAGAGAGGCATGATAAATTCTCACCTTTCTAAAATGACAGTAGTTTAAATTGAACATAAAACTATTCCATTTATTCCCTTTCCTTGTTTCTAAAGTCTCTAAAGCTAGGTTCAGTGTGTCTTCATACCTTTATCGCCCAAATCTAACATGGAACCTGGCTTAGTATCGAAGTTTTGTTAAGTTTTACAGAACTAATGAATGACCCTCTCTAATGATCACTTCTAGTCACTATTATAGAGCAGTAATAGTCAAAGGGTATTCTGAAGCCCATTAGCAGTTTTTCATATGGTCAAGGCCATTCTAAACTCCAAATAGTAAACATCTCTCTTTGTACCAAGAAGTAGTGTGGGAATGTGTGTGATTTATATGCTAGGTAACTTTACTCCTAAAAGTTCAGTAGCCTTGGCCAACGGACTTTTTGTTACTGTTATTTAGTTGCTAAGATGTGTCTGACTCTCTTACCACTCCATAGACTGTAGCCCACCACCAGGCTTCTGTGTCCATGGGATTTCCCAAGCAAGAATACTGGAGTGGGTTGCCATTTCCTTCTCCAGAGGATCTTTCTGACCCAGGGATCATACCCACATCTCCTGCATTGGCAGGCAGATTCTTGACCTCTGAGCCACTAGGGAAGCGCCAGGGAATTTAAGTCAGTGCTGTCAGACTGCCAGTTTCTCACAGTATGTACAAGATTTTGGCTTTAGATCAACATAAGGTACGCTGTAAAAATCAGCCACAATGAAAGAAGCATGGTAGAATAGGACAGCTTGGTGAAAGAAATTGCTTTTTTTTTTTCTTTTTTCTCTTAGTCTTTACCACTTTTCCATCTTTCCTTCCTTTCTTTTCTTAACACACTGTTGGTCATGTATTCAGGCTGAAGTGCTTATGGTACTGCTATTGTTGTTGTTCAATCATTAAGTCATGTCTGACTCTTTGTGACCCCATGGACTGCAGCACAAAAGGCTCCTCTGCCCTCCACTGTCTCCCAGAGTTTACCCAACTTCGTGTCCATTGAGTTGGTGATGCTATCTAAGCATCTCATCCTCTGCCACCTCCTTCTCCTTTTGCCTTTAATCTTTCCCAGCATCAGGGTCTTTTCCAGTGAGTCGGCTCTTTGCATCAGGTGGCCAAAAAGTATTGGAGCTTTAGCATCAGCATCAGTCCTTCCAATTAATATTCAAGGTTGATTTCCTTTAGGAGTGACTGGTTTGATCTCTTTGCAGTCCAAAGGACTACGAAGAGTCTTCTCCAGCACCAGCCTCAGTTTTTTGTCGCTGAGCCTTTTTTATGGTCCAACTCTCATGTCTGTACATGATTATTGGAAAAATCATAGCTTTGACTATATGGATCTTTGTCAACAGAGTGATGTCTCTACTTTTTAATATGCTGTCTAGGTTTATCACAACTTTTCTTCCAAGGAGCAAGCGTCTGTTAAGTTCATGACTGCAGTCACTGTCGCAGTGATTTTGGAGCCCAGGTAAAGAAAATCTGTCACTGCTTCCAATTTTTCTTCTTCTGTTTGCCACAAAGTAATGGGACCGGATGTAATGGTCTTAGTTTTTTTAATGTTGAGTTTCAAGTCAACTTTTTCACTCTCTTCTTTCACCCTCATCAAGAGGCTCTTTAGTTCCTCTTCACTTTCTGCCATTAAAGTGGTGGTATCTGCATATCTGAGGTGGTTGATATTTCTCCCAACAATCCTGATCCCGACTTGTGATTCATCAGCCTGGCATTTCACGTGACGTTAAACCAGCAAGGTGACAGTATACAGCTTTGGTGTTCTCCTTTCCCAGTGTCGAAGCAGCCCATTGTTCCATATCTGGTTTGAACTGTTGCTTCTTGATTCCCATACAGGTTTCTCAGGAGACAGGTAAGGTGGTCTGTTACTCCTGTCTTTTTAAGAATTTTCCAGTTTGTTACGATCCATACCGTCAAAGGCTTCCATGCAGTCAGTGAAGCAGAAGTAGATGTTTTTCTGGAATTCCCTTGCTTTCTCCATGATCCAACGAATGTTGGCATTTTGATCTTTGGTTCCTCTGCCTTTTTTAAACCCAGCTTGTACATCTGAAAGTTCTTAGTTTATGTACTGCTGAAGCCTTGCTGGAGGGATTTTGAGCATAACCTTGGTAGCATGCGAGATGAACGCAATTGTGTGGTAGTTTGAAGCTTCTTTGATATTATTCTTTTTTGAGATTGAAATGAAAACTAACCTTTTCAAGTCCTGTGGCCATTGTTGAGTTTTCCAGTTTGCTGACATATTGAGTGCAGCCCTGTCACAGCATTATCTTTTAGGATTTTAAATAGCTCAGCTGAAATTCCATCACCTCTTCTAGCTTTGTTCAGAGTAATGCTTCCTAAAGGCCCACTTGACTTCATACTCCAGCATGTCTGTCTCTAAGTGAGTGATCACACCATTGTGATTATCTGAGTAATTAAGACCTTTTCTGTGCAGTTCTTCTGTATATTATTGCCACCTCTTCTTAATCTCTTCTGCTTCTGATAGGTTCTTAGACATTTCTGTCCTTTATTGTGCCCATCCTTGCATGACATCTTCAATTTTCTTGATGGGATCTCTTAGTCTTTCCTATTCTATTGTTTTTCTCTATTTGCATCATTCCTTTAAGAAGGCCTTCTTATATTTTCTTGCTGTTCTCTGGAATTCTACATTCAGTTGGATAAATCTTTCCGTTTCTTCCTTGCGTTTCACTTCTCTTCTTTCCTCAGCTGTTTGTAAAGCCTCCTCAGACAACCACTTTGCCTTCTTGTATTTCTTTTTCTTTGGAGTAATTTTGGTCACTGCCTCCTGTATAGTGTTAGGAACCTCTGTCCGTAATTCTTCAGGCAGTCTGTCTACCAGATCTCACCCCTTAAGCCTATTTATCACCTCCACTGTATAATCATAAGGGATTTGATTTAGGTCATAACTGAATGGCCCAGTGGTTTTCCCCTCTTTCTTCACTTTAAGCCTGAATTTTGCAGTAAGGAGCTCAAGTCACCTCCCCGTCTTGTTTTTGCTGACTGATTATGTTCTTTGTAGATGAAGAGGCTCTATGTATACAATTGTATTGTATAGAAGAAGCTCTATGCAATGTATGTATGAAGAAGCTCTATACAATCTGATTTCAGTATTGACCATCTACTGATGTCCATGTGTAGAGTTGTCTCTTGGGTTGTTGGAAAAAGGTGTTTGCTGTGACCAGCATATTTTTTTGACAAAACTGTTAGCCTTTGCCCGGCTCCATTTTGTAATCTAAGGCCAAACTTGCTTGTTGTTACAGGCTATCTCTTGACTTCCTACATTTGCATTCCAATTCCCTATAATGAAAAGGACATCTTATTTTGGTGTTAGTTCTAGAAGGTGTTGTACGTCTTCATAGAACCAGTCAGCTTCAGCTTCTTCATCATCAGTGGTTGGGGCATTGACTTGGATTACTGTGATGCTGAATGTTTTGCATTGGAAATGAACTGAGATCATTCCATTATTTTTAAGATTGCACCCAAGTTCTGTGTTTCGGAATCTATTGTTGACTATGAGGGCTACTCCATTTCTTTTAAGGGATTCTTGCCCACAGGAGTAGATACAATGGTCATGTGAATTAAATTTACCCATTCTGGTCCGCTTAGTTTACTGATTCCTAAGATGTCAGCATTCAGTCTTGCCATCTCCTGCTTGACCACATCCAGCTTGCCTTGATTCATGGACCTTATATTCCAGGTTCCTATGCAATATTGTTCTTTACAGCATCAGACTTTATTTTCACCGGCAGATAACATCCACAACTGAGCACCTTTTCCACTTTGGCCCAGCCACTTCATTTCTTTCTGGAACTATTAGTAGTTGCCCTCTGGTCTTCCCTAGTAGCATACTGGACACCTTTCGACCTGGGCAGTTAATCTTCGGGTATCATATCTTTTTGCCTTTTCATGCTGTTCCTGGGGTTCTTGTGGCAAGAATACTAGAGTAGATTGCCATTTCCTCCTCCAGTAGACCACATTTTGTCAGAACTCTTCACTGTGACCCATCCATTTTGGGTAACATTGCGTGGCATGGCATTTTCATTAAGTTACATAAGCCCATTTACCATGACAAGGCTGTGATCCATGAAGAGGATGATTCTGCTGTAGGGTATGGAAAATTGTATCATGCCATAACTGGCTTTTAGGGAAAGTTTAAGAAGCAGTCAAGAAGCACTTATGTAGCTAGCTCTATTAGATGCCAGTATTGCTAGCTGGCCTCAGGGATTTAAAGAAGGATCACATGATTACTTTCTTATGGAACTTCATAGTTTTTACATGTATCATATGGAAAAATTCTGTGATCCATTTCTCAAAAGGCTTCACAGAGTGACTATCTGGGTAAATTTACCAAGCCTACTGGTGGGACAGTTGGCATACCATGGGTCTGTTTCTTGGGGTGGGTCCGTGTATGGGTGCGTGTGCATGTCTGTGGTCAGTCGTGTCCGACTCTCTGCAACTCCGTGGGCTGTAGCCCGCCAGGGTCCATGGGATTTGCCAGTGTTTAAGATCATGTTACTTCATTAGTTTAAAATAAGAAATCAGTGCTGGCAGTAGGGAGCAATCTTTCTCTCTTGATTGGTCTTCATGGGAAGCCAGGCCATATTCAGAATGTTGCTTGGTGCGAATGAAATCTCAGAATATGGTTCTGTAACATGAACTTTTCCTGATATAAGACTGAGCCTGATATTCTACCTCTATGATCAGAAAACCTGGTCATTGGGATGCTGATGAAAGTTGAAATTATTTGTACTTTTAGCACTGACCTTCTAATTGACATATTCTTTAGTTAAATTAACTTTTTTGTTACTTACCTTTTAGTATATTTCCTTGCAAATTTACAGTCTTCTAACTCATTCTTTTTGAGGTGGTTGTATATATCACTTTTACCATAAAACTTTGTTTTCTGATTTCATATTCAAAGAGTGGCCTCATTACTTTGTTAACTTGGGGAAGCAACTCATCTTGGTTTTCATAGAGCAAATATATACTATCTAGTTGGAAAAACAAGATCTATGAAAATACCTATAAAAATCAACAGTATCAGGTTATTAGAAACATTGAATTTTTGAAAGTCATATTATCCCCAAAGGAGACAGGGAAGGCCATTTGAGCTGAAAAAGACATTATAGATCATTTATTCTGATTCTCTTTTTACCAATAGGAAAACAGTCCAGTGGCCACATAACCATTTGTGACAATACTCAGACTGCCTACTTCCTAATTCATTGTCCTTTCCTGTTATATCTTGTTCTTTTTGCAGAGGAGTTGGAGCTTGACTTTATTCAGTCAAGTCCTGAAGAAGACTTAAAGGCTGATATGTGGTGTAT